TTATTCCAGGTTTAGTTCCATAATTTTCATAATCAGTAGCCAGATAATTCATATAAATTACTTCTACATTATAAGCAAATTTAACATCCTTTCCCGCTTTGGATGTGAGTATGTTACGACTTGTTCAGTAGCTTTGTAATTATCCCTAGTCTCAGGGTGGAGTTTGTGAAAGACCTAGTTACATTCTCTTTCCAAGCAGCTCCATTTTTTTTCCATACGGTGGATCTTACCAGGGTAGAAAATTCAGAGGCTGTCAAGGTCTGTGGGGAAGACTTCCCAAGGTAACAAGTTAACTTTGATAAACCAGAGCATATTCATTTGAATATGAAAAACAGCCTAGGATCAGAAGAGCACTATGCAAAATTCTCCCAAAAAGTAACAGTTCGAAGTTAGGAAGATAACAGCATTTCTTTGTTTTCTTCTTTCTTTTTCTTTTGTTTGATAATTAATTATTTTAGTGTTCAACATTTACTTCCATAAGATTTTAAAATTTTCTCCCCATCCCACTCCCCCCCCCAAGATGGCATACAATCTAATGTTAGGCTCTACATATACATTCATGTTAAGCATATTTTCCCAGTAATCATGATGTAAAGAACAATTAGAACTAATGGGAGGAACCATGAGAATGAAGCAATAAAACAAAATGACAAAGGAAAAGGAAAGCAAATAGTATGCTTCCATCTGCATTCAGACTCCATAGTTCTTTCTGTGGGTGTGGACAGCATCTTCCATAGTATCTCAGAGATCATAGAAAAGGGAAAAGGCCCCACATACACAAAAATATTTATAGCAGCTCTTTTTGTGGTGGCAAAGAATTGGAAATTGAGGGGATGCCCATCAATTGGGGAATGACTGAGCAAGTTGTGGTATATGAATGTAATGGAATACTATTGTGCTGTAAGACTTCGGAAAAACCTGGAAAGACTTGTATGGACTGATGCTGAGTGAAGTGAGCAGAACCAGGAAAATGTTGTACACAGTAACAGCCACGTTGTGTGATGATCAATTATGGTAGACTTAACTCTTCTCAGCAATACAATGGTCCAATACAATTCTGAAGGACTTAGATGAAAAATGCTATCCACCTCCAGAGAAAGAACTGATGGAGTTCAAATGCAGATTGAAGCATATTATTTGCTCCCTTTTTTTTCTTTGTTTCTTCTTTCTTGTGGTTTCTCCCACTGGTTCTAATTCTTCTTTACAACATGACTAATGTGAAAATTGGTTCAGTATGAATGTCTAAGTAGAGTCTATATCCACTTGCATGTCATCTTGGGGTGGGGGGAGGGGAGAAATGGGGAGAAAACTTGGAACTCAAAATCTCATGGAAGTAAATGTTGAAAACTAAAAATAAATAAATTTTTTAAAAATTAAAAAAAATGAAAGCATCAGAGAAGGGGTCCATAAGTCCAGGAATGCAGGGCTGGTTCAATATAAGGAAAACTATCAGCATAATTCATCATATCAACACCAAAACTAACAGAAACCACATGATCATCTCAATAGATGCAGAAAAAACTTTTGACAAAATACAACACTCATTCCTATTAAAAACACTAGAAAGCATAGGTATAAATGGAGTCTTCCTTAAAATAATAAATAGCAGTTATCTAAAACCTTCAGCAAACATAATATGTAATGAGGACAAGCTAGAAGCATTTCCAGTAGGATCGGGGGTGAAACAAGGATGTCCATTATCACCACTGTTATTCAACATCGTACAGCAACGTTAGCTTTAGCAATAAGAGAAGAAAAAGACATTGAGGGTATTAGAATAGGCGAAGAAGAAACAAAGCTATCACTCTTTGCAGATGACATGATGTCATACTTAGAGAATCCCAGAGAATCAAGTAAAAAACTACTTGAAATAATAAACAACTTTAGCAAAGTTGCAGGCTATAAAATAAACCCACATAAATCATTGGCATTTCTATATATTACCAACAAAACCCAACAGCAAGAGATGGAAAGAGAAATTCCATTTAAACTTAATATAGACATTATAGAATATTTAGGAGTCTACCTCCTGAAACAAACCCAGGAACTCTATGAACACAATTACAAAACACTTCTCATGCAAATAAAGTCAGATCTAAGTAACTGGAAAAACATCAGTTGCTCACGGGTAGGCCGAGCTAATATAATAAAAATGACAATTCTACCTAAGCTAATTTACTTATTCAGTGCCATACCAATCAAACTACCAAAAAGTTTTTTATAGAATTAGAAAAAATAATAAGATTCATTTGGAAGAACAAAAGGTACAGAATAAAAAGAGAACTAATGAAAAGAAATGCAGGGGAAGATGGCCTAGCCATTCCAGATCTTATATTGTATTACAAAGCATCAATCATCAAAACTGCTTGGTACTGGCTAAGAAATAAGAGTGGTGGATCAGTGGAATAGGTTGAATATGCAAGACACAGTAGTCAGTGACTATAGTAATCTATTATTTGATAAACCCAAAGACCCCAGTTTCTGGGATAAGAACTCACTCTTTGAAAAAAACTGCTGGGAAAACTGGAAAAGAGTATGGCAGAAACTAGGCATAGACCAAAATCTCACACCATATACCAAAATAAAGTCAAAATGGGTATATGATTTAGATATAAAGGCTGATACTAACTGGGAGAGCAAGGAATAGTTTACCTGTCAGATCTATGGAGAACAGAAGAATTTGTGACCAAACAGGAGATAAAGAACATTATGAAAAGCAAAATAGATAATTTTGATTACATTAAATTGAAAAGTTTTTGCACAAAGCCAATGCAACTAAGATTAGAAGGAAGGTAGAAAATTGGGAAAAAATTTTTACCATCAGTCTCTCCAATAAGCGCCTCTAAAATATATAGAGAATTAAGTCAAATTTATAAGAATACAAGCCATTCCTCAATTGATAAACGGTCAAAGGATATGAACAGACAGTTCTCAGATGAAGAAATTAAAGCCATCTATAAACATATGAAAAAATGCTTTAAATCACTATTGATTAGAGAAATGCAAATCAAAACAACTCTGAGGTACCACATCACACCTATCAGAATGGCCAGCATGACAAAACAGGAAAATGATAAATGCTGGAGAAGATGTGGGAAAATTGGAACACTAATGCATTGTTGATGTTGTGAAGTGATCCAACCATTTTGGAAAGCAATTTGGAACTATGCCCAAAGGGCTATAAAAATGTGCATACCCTTTGACCCAGCAATACTACTTTAGGGCTGTATCCCAAAGAGATCACACAAATGGGAAAAGGACCTATATGTACAAAAATATTCATAGCAGCTCTTTTTGTGGTGGCAAAGAATTGGAAATTGAGAGAATACCCATCAAATGGGGAATGGCTGAACGTTGTGGTATATGAATGTGATGGAATACTATTGTGCTGTAAGAAATGATGAACAGGCTGACTTCAGAAAAACCTGGAAAGACTTGTATGGTCTGATGATGAATGAAGTGAGCAGAACCAAGAGAACGTTGTACACAATAACAGCCACGTCGTGTGATGACTAATATTGATAAACTTAACCCTTCCTGGCAATACAAGGATCTAAGACATCTCCAGAGGCCTTGTGATGGAAAATGCTACCCACATCAAAAGAAAGAACTATGGAAGTCAAATTGCTATTTTTTTTCTCTTCTGTTGAATTTTGTTTCCTCTTTCTGATGGTTCCTCCTATTGGTTTTAATTTTTACTTACAACACCACTAATGTGAAAATATGTTTAATATGAATGTAAACACATAGCCTATATCAGATTGTGCGCTGTATTGGGGAGGGTGGTGGGGAAGACGGGGAAGAAAAATTTTAAACTCAAAAGCATATGGAAGTGATTATTGATAAATCAAAATAAATTAATAAAAAAAAAAAAGAAAAACTGACCAGGAAAAAAAAAATTTAAAAAAAATTAAAATAAAAACAGCAGAGAAGGGGTCCATTGATTTTGCCAGACTGCCTTGAGGGGTCCCTTTAATATAATCAAAACACAAATTATAACAGAATATAAACTTCTATGGCATTGAAATGCCTTCACATTCTGCCTCCAACCCTCTCTACTACAAGCCAGTCAAACTGCTATTTACCAGTGGTGTGACCTTAAGCACATGGCCAAGCTGCCCAACTTCTGAGCCCAAGCCCCTTCCTCTGTGGGATGGGAATGCTAATATTTGCAAGGACCTACCTTCACTGGGCAGGTGAGGGGGGGCAGTGATATTGAGAAGAGAGTTAACAGCAAGAGAAACCCAGGATCACTGCAAAGCAAATGCCTCATAAGCCTCACAGCACTGTATAAACTTTAGGGAGGTCCATATAAAAAAACAAACTTCGGTATGGACCCCTTCCCTTTACAAATCAACACGAAACAGCCATCAATCTCCGCCATTTCTTTCTCTGCCAGGGTTCAGTTTAATTAACAGCCCTAATATCCCAGATCATCAAAGTTTTTATTAAAAATCTTTCTCATTCTTTAAGTTGGTTATCAAAAGGTAAGTGCCCCGTATATAATCCCATGAGTTTTAAACAAGCTCATTAGTATATGGGTTCAAGTTGCAGGGAAACTGAAAGCACCCCAAGAACCCCTAACTTTGTTAGGGTAGGCCCTCTTGGAGATGACCAACCCTCAGCAGTGGCTGTGGCCAAAAAGTCACCTCAGTCGGTGCCTCGTCTTGCTGATAAGCCTCTCCAAACCTGGCCAGGCTTCGCAGGTCAGAACAATGAAGTCTGATCCCCTCAGCTCAAGACTCAAAAGCGAGGACGTGCCACATCCTGGGCCTCACTGGCACCGCCGGCATGCCAAAGACCAGCTGAATTATCAGCAGCATTTGTCCCAGAACAGCCTCCTAACCTAACTTATGGTCAAGTCAGTCCATCTTTACAACGTGACAATCATTCACGATTCCCATGTAAGGCAGTATTGACCAACCCCCCAGCGGCTAAGAAAGGAGACCAGGCTTCTTGAGAATACAGCTATTTTTAATCATTCAAATAGCAGCTCAATATCAGTTTCAAATTCTTTATTATACACGGTTGCACAATTTTAGGCTGGTTAAATACAATCAGTTTTCAAAATCTTTTCAAACAGTTTCTAGATTACTACATGCAAGTGACCATGAAAATATTTGGCATTTTAAATTTTTTTTTAATTTCTGAACAGGCACTTACATGAGGAAAAAAAAAAATCCATCTGTTTCCACCCCCAGACATCCACGCTGAAAAGAGATGTTCCCAGAGCACAGGAACTCAGAGAGTATCTTCTGCAGTAAGAGGAGGTGGTCAAGGTGCCACCAGAGGAAAGCAGTTCTCAGACAGCATGAGCAGAGACTGAGTTCGGTCCACTGGCAAGGCTAGCACTGACATCTGTCAAAAGTCTCGGTTGGTTCGTGAACCTTAAGTGCAGGTGGCTTCTGTGGCTCGGACAAAACCGGCGCCTCTGCCATGCAGATACATCATGGATGCATCCCAACCAAACCCAGTTCACCACTGCGCAAGCTTTGAGAGCCTTTGAACCAAGGAGGACTTAAATTCAACGTTCAACAAAACTGAGACAAGGACATTGGGTGTGTTTCCTAGAGAGGTTAGTTAGCTTGTAAAATCTGAGTTTTGACTGGCCAAAGCTGCAGCTTAACATGAGTATGTTTAACCAGATACAGACTGAAGATAATACAAAGTCCACCCACCCCAACAATCAACAAGTTTGTGAATTGAAGAATTAGTGTTTTCTCACAGCCGAATTTTCCCTAAGACTTAAAAAAAATAAAATGCCTTAAAGTATCTATGGGGAAAAATTTTATATGAACATTAGAAATTTTAAAACACAAACAGAACACACCGCAAGAAAAACTACTGTGGTGCCAACGTAAGAGCTAAACAAACTTAACGGCAAAAAAAGAAATTGTGGGTGTAAGACAGCAAGCACCCCTTCCCATTACAAGTTGTAAGAAGTTCCCAGTGCATTCAGAATGCCACAGAACCGGAGGGCTCAGGACAAAAACGGCGCCTGGACCCCCCAACACCCACAAAACTGAATGGAAATCCTCAGGCAGGGACAGCTGCCAAGCCGGGCAGCCCACAGAACCTCACAGCCACTCAGAGCCTCTCTCATCAGCTGAACACACAAGTCTCAGGTTTCGCAGAGAATGAGAGGGAGCCCATGACATGGAGATGGGGCAGGAAGATTCATGATCTACATCTCTAGAAAGGAAACAAAATGACAAAACGCCAGCCTACACGCATGGACATTTTTAATGTTTAAGCTTATGCATATCTGAGTGCATATGATCAAATCAAAGTATGAAGTTTAAAAAGAGTGAGAGAGAGAGAGAGAGAGAGATGGCAGCTTGAGAAAGCTCCAGTGTTTCAGAGAAAGCACTTTGTAACTGGATGTACACCTTTGCGACCGGTTAGTAGTGCCACCAAACAGGGGACCATGGCGAGAGAGAGGGCGAGGCGAGGGGTCTGAGGCCCTGTCCTGTGCAGGCTGTGACCGCTGGAGCCAGACAGCCTGCCCTTCCCCACCCCGTTCTCCTCCTGCCTTCACATTTCCGGCTGCTCGGCAGAGGCCTGCGGCTCGGGAGGCTCGAAGCGCTGGTGAAAGTTCGTCCTCGGCTTCCTCAGCTTCTCGGGAGCTTTTCTCCATAAGATGATCTCCTGGTAAAAATAAATGCCAGAACACCGATACATGAACTATTTGTGGTTGTGACTGTGTTTGAGCGTTATATGCGTGTCTTGAACTTTCTACTTCAATCAACAAGCATTTATGAAGCATCTACTATGTGCCAGGCATTATACAAGGCGCCAGGGAAACAAAGACCCAGAATGAAACTATCCCCACTCTCCAGGCGCTTACGCTCTACATCTATAAAGCACCCCAAACACCCAGGAGGGCACTGGCAGCGGAAGCAGCTGTGGCTCTAGGGAAGAGAGCAAGTACATTCCAATCATGGGGGATGGAACAAGCAAGGGCCCAGAGACAGGAGCCAGGAACAAAAAGAAAGCCAGAACCTCCATCTGGGAGAGTAGGAGTAATGCCCACAGAGGCTGGAAAGGTAGGCTGGGGCCATCTTTAAAAGCCTAACAGTGGTTTGTAACTGATCTTAGAGGAGACACTGGAGCTAAATGAGTGGGGATGACGTGGTCTGATCCGGGCTTAAGGAAAATCTCTTTGGCAGCCGAATGGAGAATGGACTAGAGAAGGGGGAAACTGAGGCAGAATGACCAATAAGAAAATACTGCAACAGCCCAGGCAAGAGGTGCTAAAGGCCCGAACCCAGCTGGGGGCATCGCGAGAAGAAGGGTTTGGGTGGAAGAGATGTTGTGGACACAGAACGGAAAGATCTGCCAACTAACTGAACATAAGGACTGAGGAAGAGTGAAGGGACAAGGATAACAACAAGGTTATAAGCCTGGGAGACAGAAAGAATAGCGGGTCGGGGGAAAGAGACTATGGACTCTGTTCTGGACAGATGGAGTATGAGATATCTCCAGGCCATTCAATTTGAAATTTCCAAAGGGCAGTTCGGGAGCAAGAGGTTAGTGCTGGATGAACAGATCTGCAGAGAGATGGTGATTAAACCCAAGAGAGCCGCAGACAGCCTGAGAAGCTGCTTTGGTCAAGAGAAGACTCTTTTTTTTAAAAAGGGTGGGGAAACGGAAGTCAAAAGTAGTAGGAAAGAGGTTGAAGGTTAGTTGGGAAGAAGCTGATTGAGAAGACAGAAGGGGAGGTCATCCTCAATACCAATGCTACCATTAGCTTACACCTGTCTAAAACAAAACTAAACTTTTCCCAAATATCAACAGGCATTTTTTTTACTTCTTCATATCCAGGCTGTCAACAAGCCTTGTCTATTCTTCCTCCCAAATAACTGTAATGTTTGTGTCCTTTCCTAGACATCCTAAGTCAACATCTATTGAGTGTCCCCCTACCCCAAGTACAAGGCGTTGCAGAATTGTCCCAGTGACTTCAACCACCTTAATAAACTCCTACCTCCACCTTCTTGCCCACAGCACCCTCTCTACCTACCCCGCATACGATGTTAGTTTTCCTAAAACGCGTCTTTGTCATATACTCTCTCAGAAATCTTCACTGGCTCCACGATACCTACAAAATAAAGACACTACAACTTCCCTTGCACAGCACTCATGTTAGCAGGAAGCTTGGTCCCAGAGAAGAGTTGAGAAAATGGACCTCCCACTCTCTTCTCTGCAGAAGCCATTAAGGTACTATGGTTAGGTAATACTCTATGTACTGTCAACACATCAGGTGACAGGTTGGTTTATTTTACTATAAGTTTTTCTTTAATTTCTTATTATAAGAAATAAACTTACTGGATAAAAGAGGAAGGAGATGGCCAGAAAAGAAAGTGACGTACAACCAAAAAGAATCCATTTTTTAAAAAAGCATGCCAGTCATGGCCCTCTATAACCTAGCCCCTGGCTGCCGTTCCAGCATTACCTCACCTCTTCCCACTCCCTTACACTAACCCTCCACCTCAGTCAATCTGGTTTACTCACTATCCCCTAAAATGACCTTTACTTTCTTACCTCCCAGCCTCTTTGCTCATCTAAATCCTGCCAGATCCTTCAAGGTAGGAAATCCTACCTCATCCATAAAACCTCAGATTACATGCTGGACTATGGTGATTTTTCTTTCCTCTGAACTCTTCAAAGAAATAACTGGTTTATATTCAGAACCCATGCAGATAATAAGACTCATTTGTTAAACAAGTCCCAACTCCCTGAGGGTTGGCCTTCAAGGGCCAGCACAAGGACTCACTCCAATGACACTGCCATTACGCAAACATTTTTGGAGCCGCTGCTATATTACAACTGATTTCAGCTTAAAAGCCCCCCACAAGAAAACCAGTTTTGCCACTTTATGGTCATTCCTAATTCTGAGCCTCTGGGTTCTGCCATCCTGAGCAGCCAGATCATTCCACACTTGACCAGACTGCTTCCTGACTGACTTGCCTGTTTCTCCAAGTCCAGTCCATCCCTCAAAAGATAACAATGTGTGACTGTTGAGGCTATTCATGCTCTGAAGGCAATTCTCAAAGAGGGGCTTCAACACAGCTTCCCGTCTGGGGTGCTGTCACATGACTCAATAGCCTCAAGGCCTCTGGTGGTTTATTTTTCCTTTTTGGTGAAGCAATTGAGGTTAAGTGACTCACCCAGTCACACAGCTAGTAAGTGTTATGTGTCTGAAGCTGGATTTGAACTCAGGTCCTCCTGACTCCAGGGCCAGCTCTCTGTCCACCGCGCCACCTAGCTGCCCTGAGTCCTCAGGTTCTTTTGGGAACTGGTCATTCAGGCAACACCTCCCCACTTCTCTGGTGTTCTCAGGCAAAATCCAATTCACCCCGTCAAACATCTGCCTCGCCTTTCCCATTCTGTCGCAGGCTCCCACACTTCTGCTTCCTCTGATCCCCCCAAGATTAGTAAATACTTGTTCACTGTGTCTTCATAAAAGGCCACAAGTCTCTTACCTCCCATCGGTGGTTTTCACTATTGAAAGTCTGGAGAAAGTCTACTTAGTGTTCAGACTGAAAACCAATGCATCTGTGAAATTACCCTATCTAGAGGTGAAATAAAAGCCTAGGAATCAGACTGTGCCCAATGGCTGAAAAAGCCATCGGATGGACGTTTCCACCACTTGAACTAATGGCAGCTGAACACAAGCTGCACACATTCAGCAACCTCACTGAAGCCTTGAAAAACAGAGTCACCGATCGAGGTGGCAGAGTCTGAATCAAAGTGCTTTCAGGAGCTTTGTGAAATGGATGAATCACACCTGTGCTTCTCTGAATGAAGTGAAGATGGCACGCACAGACCCCACAGGCAGCTCTGCTCACCTTCCTCCATCTGCCCATGACCCCCACCGCCACAGTGACCAAGAACGAGACATCAGCTGGCTACGCTCGTACCTGCTGCTTGAAGTACCGTCTGTCTTCCTCATCCACCAAGACTAGGTTCAAAAAATAGCGTACTGAGAATTTCTTGTTCACATCTCTCATCGTTGGAGTTGGGTCATATCCCGCTAGAAAGAGTCTTATGGGGATTGATTCACCTTAAGAAAAAGATAATTATTTTTGTTGGGGAAAGATAATCCTGCAACGTCACTAGAGAAAGCCCCATGCCACCCGGGCCTGCGGCCCTGGCCAGCAATTCTGGAGGTACTTCCCACAGCACTACTCACACCAAGGGAATCACACGTGCAGGCTGAGACCATTCCTATAAGTTAAATTTACTGTAAACATTAGGACCAAAACATGCCATGTGTCCCTCTTTCCTGATGTGGAGGTTCCACTGACCCTTATAAAAAACCAGGAGAGAAGAGGAGAGCAGCATCTGCCCGCCTCCAGCAGGAGAGGCCGTCACCTAAACCCTTCTTCACACAGTCCTCGCTCCACTCCCAAAGCATGGCAGACCCTGACTTGACTCAAGCACGGCTGCCATGGTCAGAAGCACCAGAGACAAGGGGGAGAACGTGGCCACTCCGTCGCTGTGTAACATGTCACTCCAGGCAGCCGCCCTGCACCGATGCCCTCCTTGGGCAACTCCCACTGGTAGGCGCCAGCCTCGCGGCATGAGCTCATACAGGCATGCTGCCTGGCCGCTGTGGGGAGAGGGAGCCTTGGCCACCTCTACTGCGAGCCTCAACCTGACTGAAATGGTTAGTGAAGTGTGTTACATCTTAGAAAGGTGGCCAAGATGACCCATCATGCCCTGTAATTGTGATAGGCTGAGGGAGGGAAACACCTCACCAAAGCTGATCAACCAGCCATGGAAAAGAAACTCCCTTCCTAAGGGCTCTCCATCTCTCCCTATCCTCAAGTCCTACAGCCCACTCCTCTACCTCTGGCTCAGACTCAGGACTGCCCGGGACATCTGCAGACTTGTCTGATCACCTCCGTCTGCTTGAGGAAGCTCCAGGGTGAGGGGGTGCCTTACACCTACCATAAGGTCGAGCACACAGCCACCTAAGCAAGATTGCTGAGCAGAGCCAGCCCCCTAAAATGCCAACCCTCTTCTTCTTTTAGAGACAAGGATGAAATTAGGCTCCAATATGGGGCTGCCTCTCAGTAGATTTGTGCCAGTGGATTTTAGATCAGTTCAAAATCCAGGTTTGAGGCAGAGAGCAAACAAATATTTTCAAGTTAAAATCATAATAAAATCATAACTATTCCTCGTATGTAACAAAAGAAAATGAAGAGAAAGGAAATGTAAGTTACCTTTGACTGGGGCCCCATCCATGATTTCATACTTGGCAATGGTCTCTGTTTCTGTCGTGGTGCTGGGTCCTGGTCACACAAGCGTAATGGCATTGATTTAAAACATCTCCAGAACATCCTGCCTCTTGCCTCACCCTTTTCCATTGCTTTTATTAATTCTGGCGAGTCAACACTCTCATTCCACGGGGTTCCAGCCATGCTTGGCCAATAATCTTACTGGGCCTGCAATTAATAGGCTAACTATGCTGTTCAAGTTTGGCTCCCTTCTTCCCCAGCTCCTTCCTTCCTATAACTGCCATCACCATTTCTTGTCTCTATGCAAGCAGACACAATTCGTATGAGGAAATACTAAGAACCACTGTAAAGTTTCCTTTCTACGCACAAAGTCATCTTATCTCAGATTTCCAACGAGATAGATATCTACTCTGGGCAAAGAAAACTATCCTGCTGCAGACTGAACACTCAGGTCCTTTTGGTTTATGCCAACCTCTCCACCCCCTTTCCCATGCCTCCAAAAAGATGAGTTTCTAACCTTTGACATTAGACTATAAGGACCACGACTTACAAAACTAAAGATGGAAACCTAGGAGGAGCATAGAACTCAATTCTAAAGTTTGACCCGGAATTATAACGAGAGCTCTTAAGGTCTTGAAAAATGTGACAAGGTTATCTCCCATCCAAGCACAACAAACGAGAGAGAAGAAAAACTACAAAGAACTTTATAGCCACTAAAATCAAAGGATGATCGATGAATGAGTAGCTTGTGGTCAGCCATGGAAGTAGCGGGATCTAAATAGAGGGGCCTACCCGGGGCTCTTCTATTTCACACTTCAAGCTAAATTTGTTTAGATTCCAAATGAACCACACTGAGAAATCTGAACTGTGCTCCCATCAGATCTGGCAGGACACTTGGCCGATGAGTGTTTTCAACTTACCGATTCCTGTGATCTCTTTCTTTATCAGCTGTAATTCCATATGCTGAATTTTTATTCTCACTAATAAGAAATAAATTTTTCCAACAATCACATCCTTTAAATGATACCTTTGGGAGGGAAAAAAAGGATATATTTTTATAATTAAGACATTAGGTTTAAGTGTAACGAGCCGTTTTTCTACAGTATATGTTCATTATACCAATGAAGAACTGTTATGACATTTTGTCTTGACAAATTCAAGCTTGGAAATTTCAGTCATCATCACTCTACTGCAAGACTATATGGTTAGACATAGCCACATATGAAAACACAGAGTACTCTATATATAGAGTAGCAAAGACAGAGCATTTCATTGTGTTTCATCTCCAAGAGGCCAACTGCTAACTGGTCATTTTCTGACACTTATTTACAAGGCTGCTTTAACAGAGGGCAACAAGGGTACCACGTCCAGGACAATGGATTCGGAGTCAGAAAAATCTGGTTCCAAACCCATCAGCTGGCCCCACTGGCTGGCTATGTGACCCTGGGCAAGTCACTCAGTCTCTGTGCCTCATTTCTCTCACCTATGAAGTGCAGGACTAGCCTCAATTTTCCAGCTCTGAATCTATCCTCAAATGACTTTTACTTCAGAAAACTTAATGATGTAAGAAAAATGCAGAGCCAAGGTGGGCAGAAGATTTCCCTTTCTGCAGTGTTCATTTAGTAACTAATAAAGTATCATACTAGGAATGCCCAATTATTGAACCTATTAGGGTTTTTGTTGTTGTTGTTGTTTTTTAAACAATCCAGTATCAGAAACTCGGCTCCGATGGGCTCTTCTTTGCATCTTCGTTCCTATTTTTCCTTCAAGTAATTCCAATGTCCCAAGTACTTTTGTGACTGGACTAAAACAATGTCTGCCTGAAAAGGAGCATCGAGACTGTAAGCCTCCTCTTTACTGTTTCTGAACACTGACAGCTTTATGCCACCAGAGTCTGAGGTGCTTTCTAGTAGCCCCCACCCGGTAAACTAATTTATTTCACACTTTGGGTAACTAAGGTGGCCCAATGATCTTTCTTTGAATTCTGTGGTGGCCTCCTTTTTGGGAAAAGACACTCACTTGGATTTATTATACTCAAACTCTATGTGCAGACAGTCTTCGATGCCCACCTCCATCTTAATGGAGTTGTTGACGTCAGGGTAGGTGGCCAGCTGGTGAACAATAAGATCGTACTCTTTTACCAAGTCTGACAGTCGTCTGACTATTGTCACTTTAAGAAAATACCTACAAAGTAAACGGGGAAGAGGAGTTAAATCTCCCAGCATTAATTTAAATATTTTGACTCAAGAAAACCATTAACTGGAGTTCAGCCTTTATGTCCAACTCTGGCCAGAATGATTTTAGACTGAAGTATCACTTAACAAAATTTCTAATTTGAGAATTTATCCAAAATAACATGTTAACGACTCTAAAAACTGAGTTACAGGAGCCTCTCTGTAGCCTACCCAGACCTCCCCTTACCTCAGGTTTCTGATATTTTAGATGAACTGGAAGAAGGATCAATTGTGGATAAAAAATGAAAAGGTTTAAAATTTAAATCAGAAACAAAACTGGGAAGCTACAACCAAAACGGTCAAACAAAAGAGGAGCGGTTTTTCATTTTATGGCATCTCATGGGGGAGGAACAGCACAAAGAAAACAAATCTGACAAGTTACCAGACAAGAACATGAAACACTGTGAAACAGGTGAGCTGGAAGGCAACATGAGAACCCAGGAAATGCCGGGCTCCCCACTTCCAGCCTTTTTCAGGATGGCCCCAAAGGATGCTACAGGACGCAGAAAGCATGGCGGCTCCCCTCTGTGACATGGTCCTTGGAGATCTATGAGGTACTTCCTCAAATCTCCAATCCTTCTCTAAGCCTTTCTTCAATCTACCTGGCTTTCTGGTCTGCATATATTCTTGGGAAAACAAGTTCCATAAGTTACTTTAAGCACAGCATAATACAAAAAGAGCTGGTCTTAAGAGTCACAAGACCCCAGTTCAAATCCTGACCTTCCCATTTACTACACATATGACCTTGGCCAACTCGCTATACTTCTGTGGATCCCAATTTTCTCCTCTGTAAGATGAAGAGGCTGGACTAGATGACCGCTATGGTCCACGTGAGTTCTAAATCAACGCTCCCAAAAGAGCTAACTCACTATGGAAAGGAATACAACATCCAAAAGGTCCTAAGACTTTCTTCCTTGTGTGCCAAGGATGACAACCCAACCCAAACTTCCACCCTTCTCAACCAAAGAGCTGGACTATAATTTGACAGGCTGGGCTCGTGATTCTCAGAGCTTTCAGTGAGAACAAGTTCCTGCTTCCCAGAGCAGTATTAGCTTCAAAAATGATGGGGCCTTATCTAAAGAATGTTCTACCATCATTCTGTTTAACTTCAGCAGAAAGAGGAACGACACGTAAAAGACTGGCCTCAGACAACTTTCTGGTTTTGACTTTTGTAATTAAGGTGAGCTCAGATCTAAGACCTAGCCCAGACCCAGGCATGCAGTGACATCCATACCTCAATCGGACATTGGCACCAATGTAGGATTCATAGGGCTTTTCAACCTGCATAAATTCAAAGTCATAACTTCTGCTTTGTGTCAGTTCTCCGGGTAAGGCCAATTCTTTCACTAGGTTTACAAATTCATGGGTATTACTCTTGTCATTGAAGAGTTCTAAGAAATTAAGAAAAATAGAAATCGACCAAATTATTTTAAACACTGACTTTATAAAGATTACAAGTGCTATCTCCAATCAGTCCACTGGGCTTTTCCCCATTTTAACAAAAATCTGAATCAAATTCTTCCTCACTATAATAGATGCCTAACTAAAAAAGTTACACATGTTGCACAAATTTTAGTGACTCACATTACATAAAAATACCTCTAGGGATCTCATATTTTGATAATGTGAAAACATTAATTACCAACACTCATCTGAAGTTATTCTTTAAGGTCAAAAATAGTGTTGCTCAGGAAGACAGACAACCTTATTAAATTTACTATATATTCAATACCAAGAACAAGGTGCCACTGAGGTCAGGAATGTATTTTTTCTCCTCTAGTAAAACACCAAGTGGGGAGGAAAATAATCTCTAATTTTTATACTTAAGAATTAACAGTATAAAAGGCCTGTTATATTGTGAACTTATACCTTAAAAATGAGGGGCTTTACCAAGTCAAATTTCACAAACCCCTCTATACTGTACTTTTACACAACGCCAGTGGGATATGGGTGTGCATAGGGCTGGTAAGATGACAACAACCACCACCATGATCAATTCCAGGATTCAGTAATGACAAAGATAAGAAATCTGGAAGGGAAAACATGCAGAAATGTCTTCAAGATACAAAAGTTAAGATGCTAGTTTAGGACACAGCTTTTAAGAAACGTGGCTGATGCCAAAAGCTCTTCCTCCGAATCTTGCCGATTAGATTTTGCGTTGCTGGGTGAAACTCTGGGTGTCCTGTGAGTCCAGGCAAACGTAGGGCGATGAGCCTGACCAGCACGGGGAGCAAGCCTTAAGGTAGGCTAATGCCAAGTTGTGGTAAGCTACTGAACAGATCACTTTCAAGGCTGGTGGCTGGAAAACCTCTAGCTCATTTTCAGTTTCAGTAAGGAAAAACCAAAAGTTAATCTCCAAGTCAAAGACCAGGATTAGGAAGACTTGTTATTCTCATGAGGTCACTTAACACATTTTCCAACTGTGTCTTCTCTCCCCAACATCAATTCTCTCATTCCCCTCAGAGAAGCAGAAAGTCAATCACTCCGACACAAACTTTCCTCTCACTCTTGAAATACCAAAAACAAACAAGAGATAATGTTTTAAAACTCACCAATTTGGCCTACAAATTCAATCCTAATTCCTTGGTGTTCTAGCCTCTTTCCAGGTTGCTTAAAGGCTAGGTTTACCTGCCAAGACATAATGTTTTAACAAATGTTAAGGGAATGCCATCACAACCAGCTTTTTCTGGGGCAAGTACATATTTATTTTCATTTCTTTTAATATCATTTTCATTTCTGTGTCTATAGCAGATGCCGTGCCTATTCATAATATATTACTAGGTATTTTCAGGAATATACAACCTTGCTTTGCATCACCAACTATCTCCTTCCCTCCTGTCTCAGAGAAAGAGCGGATAACCTCTATAGTCCTTGGCCAAATGAAGTAATTAAGCACTTTGATTTAAAAGGTTTCTACCTAACCTACACAGGGATGGGGGAGGTAATATTGTCAACATAGGACTTCCTCATCAATTCTGTTATTTTTTGTTGTTGTTAGGAAGAATCTGCCACATTGGATCAATAAGTAAAATATATTCACTGCTCTAACAAATCAGGAAAAGAGCTCATTTCTTAGCACATTATTTATGAAAGACCTCATATAGAATCAGGGATTTAAAGCCAGAAGGGGCCTCAAAGGTCATCTAGTGCTATCCTCTAATTTTACAGAAGAAACAAAGGCCCAGAGGTAGCATGACTTGCCCAAGGTCACACGTGATAAACGGCAGAGCCAATATCTGAACCCAGGATCTATTGCTCTCTAAGGCACATGCAATCCTTGGGATTCACGCTGAGAGAAAGGTCGTTCTGGAAGGTAACTGAGAACGAATACATAATACCAAATCCTACAGAAGGATGTCACTCCCCTCTTCCCCATTCAATAGACTCCAGTGGCTCCTCATTACCCCCCAGGATCAAAGATGAAATCCTGTGATTGAGGCCCCTTTCCTCAGCAGTCTCACACCTTCTTCAGCCCCACGGTGATCCTGGCCTCCTGGCCCGTCCTCGCACTCTAGACTCTGCTGCCCAGCTCTGAGGCCTAGAATGCTTTCCCCTCCTGGCTTCCTTTAGGTCTCAGCTAAAGACCTGCCTTCTACAGGAAGCCCTTCCCAATCCTCCCTAGTCCTGGTGCCCTCCTTCCGAGACCACCTCTAATTTATGCTCTACGTAGCTTGAATGTGCACAGCATCCTGTACCTTCCTCTGCCTCCCCAGCACTCAGCATGGTGCCTGGCACCCAGCTGGCACTAAATAAATGCTTGCCGGCTGATGCTTCAGGATCTCCAAACTAAGCTTCCCCCTGATCTTGCTAACAAAGGAGTCGCTGAAATTCCTCCTCGTTTCGGTGCAGAACTGAACTCTGTCACTACCACCTGCCCGTCATCTAATCCTCCGGGCCACTCCAGGTCATGACAAAGACTCTGACAAAACAGGAACCATCTTCAAGAGAAGAAAACGACCCTGGACACATGAAGACTCGCTCCAAATCTCGGAGAAGAGAAGTACAATTAACTAAAAGAACACGGTGGTTTTCCTCATACTGTACCCCGAAAATTAGCCAAGACTACCCAACAAATGGCGGACAGGCTGAGGGAAGCTGGGCACACCATGCCCCGCAAGGGACTATGGACTGGTCCAACTGTTCTAAAAAGCCCTCAGGAAGGGAGCAAAGGCCACTGAACTCCTCAAACCCCCTCCATTTTAAAATGTTTTATTTTTTTTCCCACTTGCATGTAAAAACAATTTTTAACATTTCACTTTTTTAAATGGTGAGTTCCAAATTCTCTCCCTCCTCCCCAAGACTACGAGCAATTCGATATAGGTTATACATGTGCAAGCACACAAAACGTATTTCCATATCAGTCATGTTGTGTTCACACCCTTTGACCAAGAGGTCTCACTCCTGGGGATGTACCCCCAGAACAACAATGATGCTTCGATCAGTACACTGTCAGGCACCAAAGAACAGAAAACAAAATGCGCACCCAACAACTGGGAAACAGCTGGAAAAATGATGGCGCGTGAATGGAACAGGGTATTATTGGTACAGCAAGAAAAGATCAGTCCCAGAAATCTGGAGAATCACAGGAAGAGATGTATGGGCTAACAGAGAATGAAGACAGCAGATCTGGAAAAACAGCTTCCCTAGAACGATGAAAATGAAAAGATCACTAAACAAGGAAGCTGAGTGCTGAATCAGTCAAACATCCAATGGTCCTGGAGGATAGACCCTGGGAAAGGGGAAGGCACAGCGGGCTCGTGGTCACTGGGACTGCTGCTGCTGCTGCTGCTACTACATCTTTGTCACAAGGGAGGTGTCAACCGATGGAGGGTATTCAGAATGACAGTGAGAAAAAAAGCTAAGGCGTCAAAGTAAAGAATTTTAAAATAAAACCTACTGGAACAGGTAAAGAAGCTGACCAGAATCATAATCATAAAAGATTCTGTGTGAATACGTAAGAAGATAGAAAGAGAAAACTCACACTCCAGGTATAGTTGTTCAACCTACTGAAAATCCAACCAACGCCCTTCCCTTCACCCTTCATCCACAGGGATCTGTCTAATGCCAGGCAATCTGGTATCTTCTGAAGAGAAGACAGACGACAAGACACTTAGTAAGCCACAGCCCTTCCCTGAGCCTCAGTTTTCTCATGTGTAGACAAAGAATGGCAACACAGTTCTGCAGACTTCACTTGGTGCCTTCCATAAGCTCGGCGAGAGGCTAGGTTGTGCAGGAGCTGGGCCGCCTTTTCTACGTAGGGAGATGAGATGACTTCTCTGCCCATCACCCATTAGGGGTGGGACCTCCACTGGGCTGACTTCCGTTGCCTCAGCTTTCCTCTCCTCCCTAGGCCAATCAGCCCTAGGGGCTTCTCAGCTTGTCTAAGCAGATTGATTTCCCATCCCCGTGACTATTTTGGTTGCTGTTCTACAGATCCCTCCTGTTTCTTAAATGTGGGGTTGGAGGGCTAGAAAAGGCCATGATGATTATCTGTGCTAGACCACTCCTCCCCTATTACCACAGATTAGAAGTGACTCTGTTTCTGAACACTAAGGTAACTCTGCAGACGGGAGGGTGGGGAGGAGGGGAGCCCCAAGCACCTGGCCACAATCCCATGACAAAGGAAAAGAAAATGAAGTACCAAGAGAAGTAGTGCAGGGAGTAACACAACAGGAAATAAGGGACAATGGATCAGGTTCCGAAGCCAGACGACCTGGGTTCAAATCCTACTTCAGCAGCTTGTATGACCTTGAGAAAGTCGCTTAACTATAAAGGCCTCAGTTTTTTCATCTGCCAAATAAGGCAACTGGACTAGATAACCTTTGAGATCCTTTTCCTCTGAGCCTCCCCCCCAACTATTCTACCCTAAATAATTTAGTCATGAGAGTGTAAAAACTTGTGCTTTAAAAAAAAAGAACTCAAACATACTTCAAAAATAAACCATTCTAAAATCTTTTATGGTCAACATGGAACTACAAATATTAACGTTCTGCAACCAGCCAGTGACTAAAAATTCTAATCCCATAGAAAGAGTTTACCTTTCCTGAAACAGATTCACCATCGTAGAAGAGATAATGTTTTTCTACTTTGCCATCTTCGGTCTTCATTTCCGCCATCTTCCGTGACTCCCCATCATTAAGGACCACATCAATCTCGCAGATGGGACCAAAAAAACCTCCAAGAAAACTCTGAAATAAAAAAAAAAGCATTCTAATCACTAACAAAAGAATATATTTTTCTTTAGCATACTTTATAATTCAAATTAAACTAAGTTATCTACCACCTCCATTTACCACAGAGATTAAGGAAATTTCTGCTGATGAGCTTAAAGAAGTGGTGAGAAACAGAACTAAATCTGTAGTTAAATAAAATACATTGTAACTGAAACTTTTATGTAAAATTTATCTCTATGTCAGTCTTTTCTCATTGATGGAACATCAGAGTTGTATGTTACTACATACATACATACATACATACATAAAGTAAACAAAGTAAACAAAACTGACTCCCAAATAAGTAGGACTAATTCCATTTTAACGGGTTAATTTTTAAAAAGATACTTACAGAGGCTATAAGTTTATATACTTTATGACCAATGTCAGAAATTGATGTTCATGGACACGGGAGTGTCAAAATTAATTGGTGGGAGACAAAAACAACATTTGGGCCACACAAATCATTTTTGATTTCAGTGATTTTGATTCAGTTGGTATTTAAAACCCACGACCCTTGACAGTCTATAGATGTTCTTTAAAAAAAAGTGGTAAAGAATATTTTGTCCTAATAATAGAAAAATCAATGAACTGTACGTAAAAACAATCATCAAGAGGAATGCTCTTCATAGGAAGTCACTACAGCACAGCGGGAAAAGCCTGGGGTTGGGGGACAGGAAATCTGCATTCTAGTCCCAGAAACTAGTTCTGTGACCTGAAGCAAGTCACCTGTTTCCTCATCTTTAAAATGGTGAGAATCCCATCCTCATCTGACCTCATAAAAGACCTGGGAGCCAAATCTGCAGAAAGGCACTCTCTAGCTAAGTAGGTAAGGATCACAAAGGTCAAATGCTGGTCTCATGGCATTATTTCTGCCTACATATTCCAGGTATACTGATGACCAGGTTTCCCGTATCAGCCCTAGCTGACAGCATTATGCCCAAATAATGAGCTAGCTTTATTTTAATGCGGAAACCTGAAGGCCAGTTCTAGGAGGCAGATTCTAGGAGGCAAGCTGACAGAATTCCACCAGAATTCTGTGATGGTAGCTACATAACACCTTTCTAGATAACAGCAACATGCCAAGATAGCATTTTAAAGTTAGAAACCATATGTGAATTCTCATGAAAATTGGGCTTTGTTACCCAAGAATGAGAGAACGGAATATTTTTAACAACCATTAACCAGAAAACATTTCTGGAATGCATAGCATATGCCCAGTCCTGGGGTAATAAAAGCTCCATCAGCTTCTGCTCTCAAGGAGCAGACAATCTAAACAAGAAATCAGGGCATAGATGCAGAAAAATATAAGGCAACATCTAAACACAAGAGTTGTCTCCCTCCATCAGATGGACCAATGGACTTGACTCAAATTCTTTGTTGTTATATAGTTCAGAAGACCCTAGATCTGGGACGCGCACATGTAAACTCTCAAACTCTCTCCTGGGATATTCTGAAAGACTTCCAAGGTGATGTCTTCCAACAGCCTCCAAAACCATATCTCCAGATGCCAACAGTTGTTTCTTTTACACTAATTTTACAAATACACCCTCCAAATAAAAGATATTCCTCTCTTTAAACAACTTTTCCTTCAAAACAAACCACCAATGTGAACTGTTCATTTACTGACCAAATTAATACACATTTCTCCAAATATTCCTGGTATTTAAAATACTGTAACCTGTACTTTTTAACATCTTGGCTACCAATCACCTTTTCTTTCTTTTTTGGGGGGGAGGGGGGACAATTGGGGTTAAGTGACTTGCCCCAAGTCACACAGCTAGTTAATTATGTGTCTGAGGTCACATTTGAACTCAGGTCCTCTTGACTCCAAAGGCCAGTGCTCTACCTCCTGCACCACCTAGCTGCCCCACTTTTTCTTGATAAATCTAAACTACCTTTAGTAAATAAAGTTTCAAACTGGTGGGGGGGGGGATTAATTCCCCCTTTATTAAGATTTCTGGTAATATGTGTAGCTGGATGTCTAATTTCAAAGTTCACTAAGTACTCAATTAGCAAAAGTAAAAAAATCAAATTTACTTAAAATTAAACGAGTCATGAATCAAGATGACACTTTACAAACCTCAAGAGCCTCACCAACTTTCTAATTAGTTCAAATGTTGATGCCAATATACCCCACCCCCACAACGTTCTTTCTGGAGGAATTTTCCTCCGCCTCCTCAAATGTAAAATTCTAGAGCAGTAAAAAGTATGAAAACAGACAATGTCATGAAAATGACCAGAGCCTTTGCCCGGGGCTGCACATATGCCAGGGTCTCCCTATAGTGCAGAACAAGGCCTCAGAGAACACGGATTTCAATGCCAATCCCTACGAGGAAGAGAAGAGGCAACAGTGTAAGAATTTAGCACCTGCAAAATGCCAAATGTTCCTATTTGCATTTCTGTTCTAATTCCAAAACATGCACTGAAGGATTTGGTCTTCCTTGTTTATTCCTAAGGCCACATCCAGGAGTAGAGAAGGTGCTGAAGACTTGGGTACTTCAGGAAACAGAGGTGTAATTTTCATCAGTTGGGTGATCCTGGGCAAGGAACTTGATCACTCAGCCTTCTTCATCTGAAAAATGGGGGTATCCTACTACTTACACTGCTTGGCTCATAGCTTAGTCGTTACAAAAGCACTCTGCAAACCTTAAAAGTTTAAAAGGGCCTGAAGCACCAAGGCCTGGCCTTGAAGCCAGCCTCCCCGACTCCACGGCACTAGCTTTTCACACATGCCAGGTTCCTTTATTCACAGAGAGCTCTTCTAAGAGAAATTAAGAGGAAAAAAAAGAACCTAAAATATGTTATTTATTATTATATATCATTTCAAAGATCAGTACTCCTTCTGCCTCCTCCCCCATAAAAAATTGGGAAATCCAAAGAGCTCCGAGTTAAAAGAAAAAATTCCTGATCAAAGGAAACACATCTTTTCATTGAGCTTTTCCTAGAACTCCATTCAAGACACCTCTCCAAAAACAGGACCATGGGATTCTGAGCTGGAAAGAACCTTAAAGTTCATTTTGTCTAACTCCAATCACAACCAATGGACGGCCTAACTAAACCTTCCCGTGAAAGTCTAATTTTGGTAGACAGATGAAGAACCAATCTCATCTCTCCAGAGATGTAAACAGACTATAAAAGAACAGATAAACAAAATGGTCTGGGCTGGTAAGGAGCTGAGGAAGGAAACTAAGTGGAAATCGAGTTTGCTAAAAGGGCTCGGATGCTTTCATGCAGACCTATTGGAGGCTAACGGACGACTGCTGAAATTACAGAAGGCTATTTTGAGATCCCATTTGAAGCTCAAAGAAACTAAACAAAGGCCACAGACTACACCAGTTCTTTCCAAGTCAGTAAAAGGTCCTAAGCACGCCTGTCAGCCGCAGAGGAGGAGGAGGCTTTCAGAAGCAAGACCAGACTTGAAGACAGAGTAACTCATACAGTAGATAGAAGGACATCAGGGACAGGAAAGCATGGTGAACCATTGAAGTACTAAATGAATGTAAAGTATTATTACACGGAGTACCTGGATAGGAGCCACTTTTCCAAGGCTCTTCCCAAACCTACGCCCAGATCACTGACAACTAACATATGAACCTCATTTTGAACCCCACTGTCCAGTACAATTTCACAGACACCGTCCTAGCCTACCTGAATTTGTGAGCCCGAAGAACTTCATCCAATGGAGGATGACAAACAATCAGGAAAACTCTCAAAGTCAGAGTGGACTAGATTTACTTAGTAAAACAAACAGGCTGATCTTGTTGAAGGTTACGAAGTTGAGTTTTTAAAAGGAAGCTATATGAAGGGATTCAAAAAGAAGGAAAGCTGGGCCAAAGAGAAACAAACATTCCACGATTCTAACAGTGCAAATAAGGCGACAAGGAAAGGTAGTGACACCCCTGCAAATGCTCAGGGCAATGGTACTGAGACTTGTGGGATGTCCCATACAAGTCACTGTTAGAACCATCCAGCCAAAGCTGAAGGACAAATAGTAATCCAATCATTTTTTTTCAGGGTATGTACCTAAAGGGGTACGTGTCAGACATATGTGTGTGTGTGTGTATGTGTGTGTGTGTGAGAGAGAGTGTGTGTAATTCTTACATAAGAACAAGATTACTAGTTTAAAAAAAAATTCTAGGCATTACCTTTCTATCATTTTCGATATTTTAAAGGGAAAAAGGAATAAGCATGTTTTCCTGTTATTCAGTCATTTCCAGTCATGTCTGACTCTTTATGACCCTATCTGGGGTTTTCTTGGTGGTTTGCCATTTCCTTCTCCAGCTCATTTTACAGATGAGGAAACTGAGGCAAGCAGAGTCACACAAGGAGTATCTGAGGCTGGATTTGAACTCAGGTCTTCCTGACTCAAGGCCCAGCAATCTTTCCACTGCACCACCAAGCATGTCCATTGTGCTTATTAAGTCTGGGCACCAGGCTAAGGGCTTTAAAACTATTATCTCATTTGATCCTCACAACAACCCTGGCTGGTGAGTGCTATTATTATTCTCATTTCACAGCTGGACAAACTGAGGCTGAGATGAAGTGACATGCCCGGGCTCACACAGCTATTAAGTGTCTTATCTGAACTCAGGTCATCCTCACTCCAGGCCTGGGGCTCTATCCACTGAGCCACCAGCTGCCCATGAAGCTTTCTTCTTAATAACTCATTTTAAAATTAAAAACCTACCACTTTCAATCATTCTATTAAAAGTCATATTACAGAAAAACCCCAACCTTCTACAGGAAGCTTTTCCCAATCCCCCCTCAATTCGAGTGTCTTCCTTCTGTGGATAATTTCCAACCATTTGTGTACTGAGTTTGCACGTCGATGTTTACGCACTGTCTCCCCCATTAGACTATAAGTCCCCTGAGAGCAGGGACGGTCTTTTACCTTTCTCTGCCTCCCTAGCACTTAGCACAGTGCCTGGCACATAGGAGGTGCTTTAATTAATGTTTACTGACTGCCAAACAGAATGAAAAGGTGTGGAAGGGCCTTCTTAATACAAAACGCCAAATTAAAGAACAAGGAGAAAAAAGCGGCACATAGAGCCATTGGGTACAATAGGAAGCACCCTAGCTCTGGTGTAAGAAGACCGAGATTCAAATTCCACCTGTGTGTGACTGTGAGGAAATCATTTAACCTCCCTAGGCTTCAGTTTTCTCATCTGTAGGAGGGTTGGGTCTAGCTGGCCTCCAAGGTCACGTGCAGCTCTCTATCTGTGATTTCTGAAATAGTTCAAACAATGAACAATTATGTTATCTTAGTTTTTACAGAAAAATTCAAGCAGTCACATTATGAACTGAGGTTATTTACAGAAAGCTAAACTTAAAAAATAATAAATCTAAACTTGAATTAACAGACTGGTAAGTCCCTTTTTGCTGCCCACTGACACAAAAACCAAGCTCTATGATAAGATAACCCCAAGTGAAACTCAGCCTAGCAGAGGCAGCTGACAAGCCCCAACCTCAGCAGAGACCCAATCAAGTAAGCTTTCCCCTATGAAGGACATGGAGTACTTTGATTTCTTTGTCTGCCTTTTGAGCCATTTCCTCATTTCAAAGACTTAAGTTTACATAAGTGAGCAACGGTGATTTGTTTAGAAAAAGAAACACCAAACTCGGTTTTCCTCTTCAAGTGTAAAGTTTCTGCTTCCAATTTTTACAGTATTTTCCCTCCATTTCTTCAGTTGTCAATACCTCCCAGCTCTGAAGGATCACCAAATGTCAGGAAATCTCCACATAACATGGAAGCTGCAGTCAGAAGACTTTGCCACTTACTACCTATGTGACCCTGGCCATTTTCCTTCACATCTCTGGGCCTCAGTTTCCTCCTCTGTTCCCAATACCTGGAATGCACTCCTTCCTCCTCACCTTTGCCTTCTCTTTTTTTTAAACTCCAGTTTCCTTCAAAGGCCCCCTACAAAGGACTTTCCTGGTCCTTTCTTCCAGCTGCTGGCACCCTGCTCAAAGGATTTATTTTGCAAATTATTTTATATATACGGGGTGTCCAAAAGCGTTAGTGCGGTTCTACTTCTGGAACATCCTGTACGCGCACATACCTACACACCTACTACGTGCATACGCCGGACACAGAGTAGGTGCTCCGGGACCCACCTACCAGCTCCGAAGCCTGGGAGCCCGGGATCCCTGCTCCCGCCGCCCCGGCCCCGTCCAGATGCAGGGTCCTAGGGTCCCCCCCAGCTCGGAGCACCCCGAGGTCCTGCCAACTCGGGCGGCACGTATTAAGCGCCTGCTGTGTGCCCGCTCTGACCGCCAGCCCGGGTTCCTTCCAGCTCGGCCCCGTCCCTTCCCCGGGCGCTCCCCCGCCAGGAAGCACTGAGGAGGCGCCAACGGGGTGCCCGGGGGGCCCTCCCCGCCCCCGGGGCTACCTTGGAGGGGGCGGCGGCGGCCAGGAGGGCCCGCAGGAGCGGCGAGCCCGCGGGCAGCCAGGGGGCCCACAAACGGCCGGGGGAGGGCAGCGGGGGCCCGGCCATGGGCGGCTCCGCCTCGGGCTGGGCTCCGGCCGTTGGGCTCGCGCGCCCCGCGCCCGGCGACGCCTTCACTCACCATGGTCAACCCCGCCGCCGCTCCGCACGCGCCCCGCACGGAAACCCCGAGCCCCGGCTCCCTCCGCCCAGCGGCGCCCCCGTCATGTGACCGCCGGCCGCCCCCCCCAGCACGTGACCCCTCCGGAGAGGGCTGCGCGGGGGCGGGGCCTTGGGCTCCTCCTCCCGGGGGCGGGGGCGGGACCGGGACCGCGGCTGACGTCCGCAGGGCTGGGGGCGGGGCCGCGGCTAGCGTAGGCCCGCCTCCCTCCAGCCCCGCCCTGAGGGAAATGTGACTTCCTCCTCCCTCCCCCCTCCCCCTGCTCCCTGCCCCACCCTGGGAAGAAAGTTGATCCCCTCCCCGCCTCCTTGCGTTGATCTACTTCCCCAACCCTGGAGATAAGCTCAGTCCTGCTCCCCCTTTCCCTCCTCCCCCCGAGGACGTTCTGTGCCCCCCCAAAAGCCACCCCACCGCTGTTGTCCTCACCCCACCTCTTCCAGCCTCCCTCCCCCCTCCCTTGGGGGCTTGCAAGTCCTGGGAAACCCCCTCCCCCGGGAAAGTGGTTTCCCTTTGCCCCCAAGGAAGATGACCACAGATTCTAGAGCCGGCAGGGACCTCAGAGGCCAATTTCCGCTTTTACAGATAGGGAAACTGAGGTCCAGGGAGAAGAAACTGGCTAAAGCCCCAGGATTCGAACCCAGCTCCTCTGATACTGGAGCCAGCGTTCTTCTCCTCCCCCTCGGGAAAATGTTAGTCCTCTCCCCTGCGTCCCCATGCCTCCCTCTCCTCCTCTGGGGAGGGCACTGGTTCCCCCTCCTCTCTCTCTTCCTTTTCTTTGGGGTACATTGGCTCTCACTCGCAATGCAATAGCATTCCATTCCAACCCAATGGACTCAACAAACCTTTATTAAACACCTACTCTGTGCAAGGCTCAGTGCTAGGCATTAGGGGCACGTTAAAAAATAAAACAATCCCTACCCGCCCCCCCCCGCCCCCCCAAGAATTCACCGTCTGTTGAAGGCGTACAACAGCGTAGTGACTGTTCCCCGGAGGGGATGCTTCAGAGAAAGGTGTGATGGAGCGAAGGAGAGAGCAGACATCCGACCTTTCTGCTCAAGAAAGAATAGAGAGGGTGAGTAAGTCCCACGGACAGAAGTCTGTCTTCCTAATGTGTTGTCCTCCAGTTAACAATTGTGAGTACGGTGTCCACCTCTGGACAATACGACTTGAAAGGACATTAATAAATATGAAAAAATCATCTAAGTCATTATTGATTAGAGAAATGCAAATTAAAACAGCCTTGAGATATCATTTTACACCTATCAGGTTGGCTAAAATGATGGAAGGGGAAAGCAACAAATGCTGGAGGGGATGTGGAAGAATTGTGACACCAATTCATCCTTGGTGGAATTGTGAACTGATCCAACCATTTTTGGAGAGCAATCTGCAATTATGTCCAAAGAGTTATTAAACTGCCTGTACCCTTTGGTCCAACAGTACCACTACTGGGTCTATTTCCAAAGAAATAGGGAAAAAGGAAAAGAACCTATATGTTCTACAATGTTTATAGTAGCTCTCTTTGTGGTGGCAATGAACTTGAAATTTGGGGGGTTGCCAGTCAACTTTAGAATGGCTGAACAAGTTATGATATGTGATTGTGATAGAATACTACCGTGCTATAAGAAAAGATGAGCTCAGTGATCTTAGAAAAACATGGAAAGACGCACAAAATAATGAAGAGGAAAATAAGCAGAACTAAGAAAATGTTGTATACAGTAAGAGCAGTATTGTTTTAAGAATGACTTTGAGTGAAGAAGTCATTTTGACTTTTATAAATACCCAAATTAAACTATAAAGGACATATGAAGAAAGAAAAAAAAAGGACATTAATAGGCTGGAGCCCCTGACATAAGGATGGGCTGAGGAGCTTGCCTTCAAGAACCGAAAGCCTGTGGGCTGGAGGAGGCTCCAGAGAGCAGAACCGGGACCTCGTTGCAGGTTCGTTGTTAGGTTGTTGTCGGGAAAAGCTTTCTGATCATCAGAGCTGCTCAAAAGTCCAGTGGACAACCAGATAACCCCAAGAGGTAATTGGGTCTCACTTCTTGGAGTGGTTCAAGCAGGGGCTGGCGGACCACACATTGGGAATATTACAGCAGGGATTCCTTTCACATCTGGGCTGGGCCAGATAGCTGCCAAGGTCTCTCCTCACTCTCAGATTCTTCAGTTCACTAACTGGTGAAACAAAATGGTGCTCCGTCCTCAGGCTTCCCAGTGACAGCAGCAGAGTGCTGAAAAGGACGCAAATCAGTTAGGAAGCGGTTATTAAGTAACAGACACTGTTCTAGACACTCGGGATGCAGAGGCAAACATAGAATGTTTCCCAACCATTAATTCTATCTGGGGAATGACATGCATGAGTAGTGACTATGCTCTAGTTCTCTCACACAGAGCCAGGATGCTACATCCGCCCCTCGGGCTTCCGGGGGTAACCTTTGCCGACATTGGCTAGAGCCTCTGCCAGATGTGTTCCCCTTACTCTTAGGTTTCGGTGATTACTGTTCCAATTCCATTTAACCACTTAACATTGATTGACTTTTACAAAGAAGCATTTACTGCAAAGATAGGGCAAGAACAGATGTCCAGCCATTTCTCCCAGCACTCTTTCCTGTACCACGTCCATCTCTAGGGAGTTTTTAGCTGAGTTCCTACAGAGCCTTGGTCTCACCAAGCTTATGTTCGGATAGATGGATGAGTGCTGGATCAACTCGTGCCTCAGCTACCACTGGCCTGGGCCTCAATTGTCACTTCTCTGGAACCCAGACTCTGGCATGCCAATACCCTGGAGCAGCTTCTAACCCACAAGGTCCTGGAGGCTTCACTTCATTCACAGAGAATGAAAAAGGACAAAGCCAGACACCGAGCACCAAAACCCTCCCATGAGACCATAGGGCCTCAGAGGGGAAGAGGCCCCATAGGCCTCTCCCCTTACAGCTGAAGCTGTGCCCCGAAAGAGAAAGCAGCCAGGGCTGGCAGGCCTTTTTTTCAGTCAATCAATGAAGATTTATTAAGTGTGCCAGGCACTGTGCTAAGCACTGGGAATACTACCTAAAAAAAGGTAAAAGACAGTCTTTGTCCTCGAGAAGCTAACAGAGGGAATAACATTGAAACAAATATATACAAAGCAAGAGCTATACAGGGTAAATAGGAAATCATTAACAGAGGAAAGACAGTAGAATTAACAAGGGTAACATAGGAGATTTCAGCTGGGCCTTAATGGAAGCCAGGGAGGGGAGGGCGTTCCAGGATGGAGTATCTTGTTCAATGTCTCTGTCACCTATCAGCTCTTGGCCAGGTCATTAGCCATCCATGCAGGCTCCACAGTATAGAAAAGACCTTCCATCATGGGAACTCTCATGGAAGCAGACTCCTTAGCTCCTCCATGTGGAAAGGATCCATCCGTTGAATAAGCTGCTGGACTCTGTGCAAGCACCAGTCCCCAGTTATATACATCTATGCACAGAGTCAAAATAAGCAAGGTCATTTCTTGAGGGAAGGAGCTAATAGCTGTGGGGTGGGGTAGGGCAGTGGGGATAGATCTGGAAAGTTCTCACACAGGAAGTGGCCATTGAGCTGAACATTGAAGAAAATAAGAGAATCTGTACTCAAAATCTCATTAATTGTGGACTATCAATAGTAACTTAACTGTCTTAATTAACAAGCATTTATTAAGTACCTACTATATGCCAGGTGCCATGTTAGGCTCTGGGTCTAAAAGAAAGGAAAGAAAGAGAAGAAGGAAGGAGGGAGGGAAGGAAGGAAGGAAGGAAGGAAGGAAGAAAGAAAGGAAGAAAGAAAGGAAGAAAGAAAGAAATCTTGCTCTGTAAGTCCATGATCCAATGACCACTGAATAGAAATGCTATTAGAAAAATCAAATCCACTAAGCTGGATATTCTCATAATTACTAGATAAAAAGATGGCTTCAGAGTCAGGAAGACCTGGGTTCACATGGCACCTCTGACACATAAAGGCCTTGTGATTCTGGCAGTCAGGAAGACCTGAGTCAAATATGGCCTCAGGCACTTATTACCTGTGTGACCCTGGGCAAGTCACTTCACTTTTTTTTGCCTCAGTTTCCTCATCTGTAAAATGAGCTGGAGAAGGAAATGGCAAACCACTCCAGTATCTCTGCCAAGAAAACCCCAAATGGGAACATGAAGAATCAGAAACAACTGAAAAAGGACTCAGCAGAAAACCAATCTACATTGGTAGCATGAGTTCCTCACCTCTTCCTGTGAAGTCACAGATCTGCTGCCACCACTCCCCAAAAAAGAATCCAAAATACAAAAATAAATTGTAGCAAAATAGAAGGATGGCATATGGGTTCTTCTTGGATATTCAAGGAAAGGAGTTGGCAGAATGGATTTCATTGTGCACCCAAAAGTAACAAGAAACATTAGGTCATGGGATATGTGGGTATTTTGTGAAAATATATGTCTGCAAAATATATGGGAAAAGATCCACATGAAGATGATTACAGTTTCTAGACAAACTTCTGTGAAAGAGGACGGAGCTAGGTGGTACAATGGATAATTGGAGTAGGGAAGACATGAGTTCAAATTCAGCCTTAGACCCTTTCTAGCTGTGTGACCCTGGACAATTCACTTCACCTGTCAAATTAATGAGGGTAATAGTAACACTTACCTCCCAGCGTTGTTGTGAGAAAATATTTGTAAAGCAAATATTAAAGTACTACAGAAATGCTAGCTATTGTTACTATTGCTGTTGTTATTATTATTGAAAAACAGAGAAATGCTACAAAGGCCTTGGTAAGATCCTCCAAAAAAAGTCATCATATACTTTGATGCTTGGTGCCTTGAACGAGAATATAAGCACAGAGGTTGATGGTGAATAATATCTTGGAAAATACATTTCTGGTTTGAGAAATGAAAGATGTCAAGGGATTCATGGATTACTTGAAAACCTTGGGTCTAGATATTATAGATATCTGGAAGATATTCTGGAAGAGAATTGAAATTTTCAGCCCCAAACATAGTAAACTCTGAACACACACACACACACAC